TTAAAACGGCTCGTAAACCACGGTAAATTGCGGCTATGAGATCCAAGCGTCTGACAACATGAACTTCAGGTGAAAACATGAGCAAAGTTATGTTTTCAATGAAACTCCTCCGCAGCAGTTCGTGATACCTTAAATTAACATTAAAAGACCCTGTTGTAGGTGATTTGAGGAAAAGTATACAATTCAGACTGTGAAGCACCTACCAAGCCAGATGATTTGGAACGCCATGTCCAAATCTGGAACACCTTGACTCTTCTTTCCACAAGGAACAATGATGAATGGTGCAAGGTAGATGGAACTAATCCAAAAGAAACTGGAACATATGCACATTCATCGGTGCACAATTTTTTATGCATCATGGTGCTCCTGCCATCAGTCAAAGGTCATTGAGAATTTTTTGAAGAGGTGAACAAAAACTTGGAGAGTTGAGTTAAAGGGAGATAACTGAGAAATCCGGAAGAGGCATGGCACGTGGAACTAAAACAATCTATCCCCGGTGAACGAAACAATGAGTTTTCGTTCGAAATTCCAATTACCTGAAACGTCGTGAATATGGCAATAAAGATAAGGACAACAGTCCGAACAATGTGGTGTAAATAATTAAAATATCTCATCTCAGAAATATAGACAAAATTGAGTCAGTTTCTCCTAAATTACCTATTAATGCATTGTTTTTTTTTGGGGGGGGGAGTTACTTTGACATAGTAAATCGTCTAAGGCTGATTGCATCTGTATTATAACCCCATTTGGTCACGCTTTTTGTTCCTTTTCATTTTGCTCAGTGCCGATCTTACCCCCGGCTTTAATATTTCAGGGTTTTCCATTTTTGTGTAGTGTGCATTTCCTCCATAAAAGTTCTCCGATATATTCGTTTCAATTTTGAATTCTTCTTCTTTCTCTATTATGAATCTCCCTTCTTTCGATTGTATGCATCATGCCGGGGAAGCCCTCTTTTGTGGTATTATTTATTTTATTCCTTTATAGATACCTGATGTCTCTACAATGCTTATTTCTTTCTCTGTACACTTTTCATTTAACCATTGTTCTTTTAACAGCCTGTATTAGATTCCGAATATTTTGTATTCTTTATCATTCCTTGGTATTGCTTGTTCTCGCTTTTACATCATATCAAGAATTTCCTCTATCATCCACTTCTTTTTTTTTCTGATCTATCTTTCTTTGGGACGATCTCATTTGCAGATCTCACTAGAGGCTTCCTTAAAGGGTTCTAACTTGGGTTTCTGGCCTCATCTTTGCCATTAAATCTGTTAACTCTGTCAGCAACTGTTTGCAAGTTGATTCGTCCTGGAATCTGCCGTATTGACGTTTCGACATTGTTATTTTTAAACAGAATCCAGGTAAGATTAGTTATGTGATTCATTAGCTTGGTTGTCCGATGGAGTTCACATTTATTTGCGCCTGGCCTCTTAAGCAGCACTACAAAGATGGATCTACAACGGTCTTCTGGTATTTTGCCATTGTTTTATATTTCATTTGTTATGTTTGTAATCTGCTTGATCCCGGAATCTTTTATGGCTGATAGCGTCTCTATTACAATCCCTTCTGGTCCTGTTTCGATTTCATCTCAGACTTCAGGTCCTTTCATGGTTTTGTTTATTCTACGTTTTCTTTTGAAAGGAATTTTTATCCGACACTATTTCTTCTAATTATAAACGTTAATTTTTTATGTTTTTTTTTTTTTTTAATTAACACGATCATAATCACGAGTTCCGTAACTCATTAGGGTCGTAGGGACACCACATGTACTGCAGCCGTAGCAGAAGTTGTGTGTCTTGGGCAAGACAGCTTGAAGGAGCAAAACCCTCTCCAGGTTGGTTTTGAATTCAGAGTTTTTCCTTCTCAGAGGCCGGTTGCCATCCAAGGCTATAGAATCCTGTCTCTCCTGCTATTTACACATAGATGGAGTGGAGACAAGTTGGATTCATACCTTTCCCAAGAGTATTAACACGTAAGTGAATGTAATGAATTCGAGTGAATTTGAAATCGGCTCTCCGATTCTTCAATCCAAGACGCAATCCATTACTTCACGGTGCTTCCAAATTAATAAAAATCGGCCTATATTGAAAAGTCTTACCAAAAGATTAGACTACCTACGATAGGAATCGAACCTGCATCCTATTTTTTACATCAGGGAAACCACTTCTTAAGCTGACAAAATCAGAATTACCTGTTTCGAATACGAAACTGAAGCTGGCAGATATAGATTCGTAGAAGTGTCAAAGAGATAACACGTCTTGTTTAAGGGGTAATTCTGACTCTGTGGACGAACTGGTAGAGGTACACTCCGGCTTTACAAGTAGTTTCTCTTTAAAAAGACGATCCAGGTTCGATTCCTGTCAGAAGCAGAATTTTCGTTTAGTAGGACTTCTCAATTTATATCACTATATTATAAAAGTTTAAAAAATCATGCGTAACAACTCAAAAATATGGACCCACTACAAATAACATTTATAGTATTAAAAAAAATGTACGTATAATACTATCCCTTCTGGCCGTGTGTTGATCTTACGTAAAACCTATTCATTGATTTCTTTCTTATACGTTTGTTACAATCACTTCTGGTACTGTGCTGATTTAACGTGTATCTTTAATATTTCAGGCCCATTCATTGATTTGTATATTGTACGTTGGTTAAAATCACTTCTGGTCCTGTATTGATATTACGTGAGACTTTAATATTTCAGGCCCATTCATTGATTTGTATATTGTACGTTGGTTAAAATCACTTCTGGTCCTGTATTGATATTACGTGAGACTTTTTATTTCATTCATTGATTTCAGGCCCATTCATTGATTTGTATATTGTACGTTTGTTAAAATCACTTCTGGTCCTGTATTGATATTACGTGAGACTTTAATATTTCAGGCCCATTCATTGATTTGTATATTGTACGTTTGTTAAAATCACTTCTGGTCCTGTATTGATATTACGTGAGACTTTAATATTTCAGGCCCATTCATTGATTTGTATATTGTACGTTTGTTAAAATCACTTCTGGTCCTGTATTGATATTACGTGAGACTTTAATATTTCAGGCCCATTCATTGATTTGTATATTGTACGTTTGTTAAAATCACTTCTGGTCCTGTATTGATATTACGTGAGACTTTAATATTTCAGGCCCATTCATTGATTTGTATATTGTACGTTTGTTAAAATCACTTCTGGTCCTGTATTGATATTACGTGAGACTTTAATATTTCAGGCCCATTCATTGATTTGTATATTGTACGTTTGTTAAAATCACTTCTGGTCCTGTATTGATATTACGTGAGACTTTTAATATTTCAGGCCCATTCATTGATTTGTATATTGTACGTTTGTTAAAATCACTTCTGGTCCTGTATTGATATTACGTGAGACTTTAATATTTCAGGCCCATTCATTGATTTGTATATTGTACGTTTGTTAAAATCACTTCTGGTCCTGTATTGATATTACGTGAGACTTTAATATTTCAGGCCCATTCATTGATTTGTATATTGTACGTTTGTTAAAATCACTTCTGGTCCTGTATTGATATTACGTGAGACTTTAATATTTCAGGCCCATTCATTGATTTGTATATTGTACGTTTGTTAAAATCACTTCTGGTCCTGTATTGATATTACGTGAGACTTTAATATTTCAGGCCCATTCATTGATTTGTATATTGTACGTTTGTTAAAATCACTTCTGGTCCTGTATTGATATTACGTGAGACTTTTAATATTTCAGGCCCATTCATTGATTTGTATATTGTACGTTTGTTAAAATCACTTCTGGTCCTGTATTGATATTACGTGAGACTTTAATATTTCAGGCCCATTCATTGATTTGTATATTGTACGTTTGTTAAAATCACTTCTGGTCCTGTATTGATATTACGTGAGACTTTAATATTTCAGGCCCATTCATTGATTTGTATATTGTACGTTTGTTAAAATCACTTCTGGTCCTGTATTGATATTACGTGAGACTTTTAATATTTCAGGCCCATTCATTGATTTGTATATTGTACGTTTGTTAAAATCACTTCTGGTCCTGTATTGATATTACGTGAGACTTTAATATTTCAGGCCCATTCATTGATTTGTATATTGTACGTTTGTTAAAATCACTTCTGGTCCTGTGTTGATATTACGTGAGACTTTAATATTTCAGGCACATTTCATTTTTTGTTCATTGTATGTTTATGAAAAATGTACTCCTATCAGTTGAATATAAGTTAGCACAATGTAATTTGTTGCAAAAGATGTGGGAAACATTTACCTCGATGTAGGGGTAATGGTTAGCGAGGTAAGTCTCTTTCCAACAGAGTAGTGGTTTCGATCCCCACTGAATACTATATTTTTGGCCTTGTGCCAAATTAGGATAAGCTTAATAAAATAACGAAAACTATATGAAAAATGAAATATATTTTTTGCCTCCCATTCATTGTTACTGTCCGTTTGTTAAATTCTCATTAGATTACGAAAAATATCCGGCCCATTATTGATTTGAATATTTTTTATTAATCTGTTTGGTCCTGAGGTTGAATTACCATTGAGAAAAACCGAACCGGTAAATTGATTTGTATATCCAGGTAAAATCTTTCCTGTATTGTAATGCCCTTTATATTTCAGGCCCAAATTTGTATATTGTACGTTTGTTAAAATCACTTCTGGTCCTGTCATTGAACCTAATAAATACTATCAGTTCTTATTTGTATATTGTGTTTTGCAAAATCTTTCTGGGAATATGATTTACGTGAGAATGAAGGAAATTCATTGGCAAGTGACGTTAGTTAAAATACCATTTCATCCTGTATTGATATTATTCATTTAAGATTTCAGGCCCATTCATTGAAAAATGGCTTTGATTAAATCACTTCTCCCCTGTAAATGATATTACCATCTCATTATATATTTATTTCCATTCATTGATTTGTATATTGCTAAAATCTTTCTGGTCCTGTATTTTTACGTCTTATTGCTCTCTCGTTCATTCTTTATAAGTAATGTTTCTTTTATTTTTTCTCTCTTTTCTTTTCTTTTTCTATATCTCCCATTCGTTTGTATATTGTACTTTGTTCCCTTCTGTCTTTTGATATTACGTCCTCCTCCTCTCTTCTTCTTGATTTTACCTCTTGTACGTTTGTTATCCGTTTTATCTCGTCTTTTCAATGCTAGCTCTTTCTTTCTTTCTTATATCTCTCGTTTTATATATCTGCTTTTCTTCTTTCCTTTTTCTCTTTTTTCATTAATTTTTCTAATTTATCTCTTTGTATATTGTACGTTTCTCTCTCAATCTCTCTCCCTTTATTGATATTCCGCTCTCTTTTTATCAACTTTTCATTCTTGATTCTGTATATTGTATAAATCTCTCGTGTCCTTGTCTCTTTACCATAGCATCCACCCTTCTTTGTAATGTATACTTTTCTCATACTCTTCAGCCTCAACTTAACTCCTTTGAACTCTATCTTTCTAAATATATGCCTTTCTCTCTCTCTCTCAATTTTACCTCTCCCCTAACAGATCTTTATATCACTCTTTGTTTCTCGCTGACTCATCTCTCCCTGCCCATTCATTGATTTAGACTGTACTTTGTTAAATCATTATTAGTCTCCATTCTTATACAAGTTCCTATAACCTTCATTTCTTTATCATTCTCATTCTCTATATTCTCTCTTAAAATCTCTCTCTCTCCTCTATCTCTCTTACTCTCTCTCTTTAATATATATATTCATTGATTTTGTATATTGTACGTTTGTTAAAATCAAATCTGGTCCTATGCAATTATGGTTTTAATGTTTCATAACGATATTTCGGTTTGTTAAAATCTTCAGGACCTATTCATAAAATATAATTTAATATTATCAATTCAACATGACAAAATATATTGGACATAAGAAAATCAAGACTTATCCTGTATTGATATTACGTGAAAGTTTTATAAGATCAGGCCCATTCATTGATTTAAATATTGTCACGTTTGTTAAAATCACGTGGTCCTGTATTGAAAATTATATTTTTAATATATGTCCATTTCAGATGGTTTATTGTATGAAACGTCCGACGTTGAATATAATTTAACTAACATTAAAACTGCATAATTGCATATAAGGATTTTTGGTGTTTTTTCCGTATATTTTCTTCATACTGTCGGATCTATATCCATATTTTTGCTTATATATATATATATATATATATATATATATATATATATATAATGAAATGTGTTTTGTGTGTGTGTGTGTGTGTGTATTCTCATATAGATGAATATATCCGTTTTTGAACATAGAAATATCGGTCCTTGCTGGATTAGATAATCGTTATATTTATCTTCATATATTTATATTTGATTTGTAACCTTCAGTCGATATTTAAATTTGTCAAATTTTCTCAATTACAAAGCGGCCCTTTAATTGAACCAATTGTACTTTCAGTTCGTCCCATCTCTCTCCCCACCTCGTCTTTTCCCTCCCTCTTATTCTAACATTAGATTGTCTATGGTGTTAGTATGTCACCATTTCATGAAATGTATCTTTATGCATTAGACATCCGTCAACATTCATTTTTTCTTTAATTAAACCCCCATCTCCCTTCCACCCACCTCTCCTAAAATTCTCTCTGTTAAGGTTTAATCTCCCTCCTCCTCATATTACACTCTCTCGTTAAATTTGTTTTCATTTTTCTTTTTTTTTTTTTTTTGTTTTCTTTTGAATTTGTAGGTCTGATGAATTGGATCGTATTTACGATTCCAATGGAATAAATTATGACCATGGAATATTTGTGTTTTATCCTTTTTATTATATCCTTACAATGTCCTAGACATTTCTTTCTTTCTTATATTCTTCCTCTTGGAATTTTTTTTTTTCCTAAAAATATACATGTATTTTTCTATTTATATATTTTGCATATGTATGTATATTTTCTCCACTCGCTATCTCCTATATATATATATATATATATATATATATATATATATATATATATTTTTTCTTTACACATATATTCACATTCACATACAACCACACACGCACACATGTACATACAAACACACACACCTTTGACACATATATACATTCTTAATATATGCCTTTCTACATATACATCCACCTCTCCATATATGTGTTTTAGCCCATTTTTATTTTTCAAATATATGTATACAAATACATGCCTGTGCACACATAATACATATGCACACGACCTTATTATAATATATATATATATACACACACATATATATATATACTCACACACACGCACGCACACACACACACACACACACACACACACACACACATATATATATATATATATATATATATATATATATATGTTTCTTTCAAAATGATAGACAAGAAAATTTAATTTTTTATTTAATGTTTTTTCCAATATTCTTACATTTTCGGTTTGCTGGAATAAGGACATATTCAAAAATTGTTCTTATCAATTCAACATGACAAAGTCCAACCCAAGAAGATATTTATCTCAAATCTGAAAGTTTTATTTATTATTATTATTATTATTATTATTATTATTATTATTTCTGCTTTGAAAAATATACCTATGAATATGTCCTGAAGATGGTTTATTAGGCCGGTCGTGACGTTGTTGTTATATTAACATTAAATGTTAATTTTTTTTTTTTTTTTTTTTTTTCTCCGATGAAGTTGCTTCGTTACATATCTACAAATATTTCTCCTTAGTATGTGTGCTATATATATATATAAGACAATTTTCTGTATGTGTCTGTAAGTGTGGGTTTGTGTGTGTGTTTCAATGTGTTGTTTTGAATATTTTTTTTTGATTCCAGAAATATCTATTACCACTGGTTATTATTCTTGTTTTTATTTCCATATTTTTATATTTGAATTTCCAGGTCTTTTAAATTTTCAATAGTTTTTCAAATTCAAAGGTTGCTATGTTAAAATCCGCTGGACAAGCCCTTATCAATTCTCTAGGCAAGTTTTTTCCCCTGGTTTTTGACAATAATGTCCGGCCTATTTGCTTCAATTTTTCTGTCTGTGTGGATGGTATAATCCCATAGAATCCGTGACATTTCTTTTTCTGTAACCGGCGCTGGCCCTTGTTCATACCAGTGTTTCCTAAATTTTCTCTGTTGTTTGCATTGTCCAGTGTAAGTATTGCCTCTAAATTCTTTTCATTTCGTGACGATTTTTTATATTCATTTTTGAATTATAGAACATCCTGAGATTAGATGGTCTATTGTTTCTTGGTATTTGAATCACAGAACCTGCATTTTGGATCCACATTATTTTGTATGATATTTGCCTGAAAATTCATTGTGAAAAGACTCTGGTCTTGCTCTGCAATTTTTTTCCTTCAAATCAGACTTTAATCCAGATGCTTTGCATATCGATGAGTATTAACTTTATCAACATTATATTTATTTATATTCTGGATATTGGCCATATAGAGGTTTGTCTTGCCAGCGTTGTTTCATCTGTTCAAGGGCTTTATCCTTGGCTTTCTTTTTACATATCTTTTTGCAGTATAGTTGGTTCTTGGCTTCTGTTTTGATTTACTACAGAATCTACTAAATGTAAATGTTGTTTGTATTTACTGCCTTCTTTTATTATTGAATATTTTTTTCTTTCTGTTTTCATGTTGTTTCACTAATTTTATCATCCAGTCATTTGTTGTTTCCATATATATTACACACACAATAGTTGTTGTCTTGTATGACAATTCTAGCTGAATAAGACCTCTTCCACCTTATTTACGGGGTATATATATATATATATATATCATATATTATATGATTCATCTTATATAGAAAGAAAGAATTTAATTTTTTTTTAGAATTTCATTTGTCTGATGTCATTTGGGAGTCCAGTTCAAAATGTTCTTATCTATTTGGAACCACTGGGATGGCTTATTATTATTATTATTATTATTATTATTATTATTATTATTATTATTATTATTATCCATTCTTCACATATTTGTCTTTCTGACTTTCTTTACTTTCCGCATCTATGTATCAATCTCATCTTTTTTATCTATCTATATATCTATTTTTTTTATCTCATTTTCTTTATTACTTATCTATCAAGCTATCTATCGCATTAGCTTATCTATCTATCTATCTATCTATCTATCTATCACACTGTCTTTATTATCTATCTCTAATATTTATCGACCATCGTATCCTTTCTTCATATCTTCATCTTTCTTTCACTTCCTTTCCGCATCTATCTATCTATCTATCTATCTATCTCATTCTGTTTATCTATCTATCTATCTATCTATCTATCTATCTCATTCTGTTTGTCTATCTATCTATCTATCTATCTCATTCTGTTTATCTATCTATCTCATTCTGTTTATTATTTATCTCATTCTCTTTATCTATCTATCTATCTATCTTATTCTCTTTATCTGTTTATCTATCTCATTCTCTTTATTATCTATCACATTCTCTTTATCTACCTATCTATCTATTTATCTATCTATCTATCTCATTGTCTTTATTTTTGTGCATACAGGCGTGAAAGATAACGGTTAACCCTCGCCTTGAACAGGTTAAGATTGCAGTGATTGGGGAAACATCCTGTTGGGAGTCGATTCCACAGCGCAGTGGTTCGCTGGAAGAAGCTGCTCAAGAGGAACTTACTTCTCGCCGATGGAATACGGAAAGAATTTGTATAGTTTGTTACTATGTAAATGGCATGGCGTGATCTTCGCGGGACCAGGGAATGTAGTTCGTCCGAGCACTTTCCGTCGAAGCAGCGGAAGAGCAGTGAGCGGCTTGCCACATCCCGCCTATGGGAGAGAGTTTGAAGAGTGGAGAATATTTCCTCACTCACAAGGCCTTGAAGACGCCTTTGAACTCTATTAAGGCTGAAGAGTGACGCCCGGGCAACTCCCACCCAAATATGATCTAGTTGATGTAAAATAGAGAATAGCAAGAGGGGTCAAGTACTTACTAGAGCGATGCAGGGAGCCAACCATTTTATCTGAGTCCTAAGCAATGGATCATATGTACGAGTTCCACTCGAGGTCCGGTGTGCCCAACAGTTTGCTTTCTCAAGAGGACATTCGTGATGATTGAATATAACTAGCTTGGTCTTCGAGGCACTGATGTTTTTACTTCCACTGAGTAGTTTGTCGGAAGAGAGTTCCGTCCAATCTCCGACCATCGAGAGTTTTAGAGGTACGCCCGTATATAGTCGTATCATCGGCATAGATGTTTATAAATGATCTGAGCACAATTTTAGGCAGATCATTTATGCAGATCAAAAAGAGGATTGGTCAGAGGAGTGAGCTCTGGGCGGGGACGCCTGCGTTAATCTCTAGGGTTAACCCCTGACCATTGGTAACTACCTCCAGGGACCTATTTGTTAGGAAGGATTTTATGATCGAGAAGACCCTTCCAGTGATTCCATAACTGGAGAGCTTGTGTAGTAAGCCATTGTGCCACACCTTGTCGAAGGCCTTTGAGATATCTAGTGCTATGGTCCTTGAGGTGTGTTTATCGTCAAGAGCCTCACTTATTCCGTGTATGATGGTAGTTAGGACGTCAGCAGTGGATCGGGCCAACCGAAACCCATACTGCTCGTCGCTGAAAAGTTTTTTTTTTTTTTTTGCGTGCTTGACGACCTTCTTATTGATTATGGCCTCAAAAAAGCTTGCTGATGATACTGAAGAGACTGATGGGTCTATAGTAGAAGAGGGGGTTGCACGCCCGCGTTCTTTAAAACCGGGCATACGCTTGACTCTTTCCTCGGGCTTGGGAAGGATTTCTCCTTCAAACAGCGGTTGAATAACTTTTCAGTCCGTTCTCTCTTCTCTCGCCCTTGCCTTCTCACACTCTCTCCCCACTGTGACACTCTCATGCACTATTGCTTTTTCTCTTTAAACTCTCCCTCTCATTGTGCATTCGTTTTTCTCCCCCATTCTTCTCTCCCTCTATTTTTCTCTCTCTTTTTCTCTCTCGTTTCCGTTGCCTCTTTTCTCATTTACCTTTCACTTTTTCTCTCCCCGCTCTCTCGATCTCTTATTTTGCAATGCTTTTCCTCTTCCTTTCTCTTCCCCTCTCCTTTTTATTTACTATTTCTTTCTTTCTCATTTTCCGTTTCTTCCAAACTCACTCTAACTTTCATTTTAATTATTTTCACACTCTCTCTCTCTCTCTCTCTCTCTCTCTCTCTCTCTCTCACTCACTTTAATTCATCTTTCTAGCAATCTAATTATGTTTCTTTCTATCTACATGCTATTTTTTCTTATCTTTATCTTTCGAACACTTATTTTCCAGTCTCTCTTCTCTCCTTCCTCCCCCCATCTCACTTCCTCTCTATCTATATTGTTTTTCACATTTCTCTCTTTTTATCTTTCTATCGATTCAATTTTGTTTCTTATCTACATGCTATTCTTTCTTCTTCTGTTTATCTTTCGATCACTCATTTTACAATATCTGTTCTCGCTTTATTTACCTCCTCTCTCTCTCTCTCTCTAATATATATATATATATATATATATATATATAAATTATTTTTCATTTTCTTCTTTCTACTCAAGAAAGAAACGAAGGACAGAAACAAAAGAAAGAATGTGAAATCAATTAAGAAAGTGAATTGCTTTATTTTTCTCAGTCGAATTTTTCATTCATTCATTCCTCACTCGTTTCCCATCTAATCTTCAATGTTTTCTTTTTCGATGTTAGTGTTTTTTTATCTTATCCCATAATCTTTATTTGTTAATGCATTTCTATCAATTTCATTTCAAAAAATATTTCCGACATTTTTTCTGTGGTTATAACACGTTCTTCTCCCTTGATTCCGCTCAATTACCAACCATTATTTTTCTTTCTTTTTTACTTATTTCGTTTTTTTTTTTCCTTTAATATTTCTTATTTATTAAATTGTTACTTTATTTATGTGACCAATGGGCTATCTGTGGCATCTTTTATAGATTCTATAATACATCTGAGGCCAAATTTTTTATTACTTTTTTAATTCGCTATTCTTTTTTCATGTCTGTTTTTCTTTCTTTAGATTTATCATTCGTTGACATACTGTGCTATTTATTTATTAAAAACACATTACTTTCGTCGACCATGTTTAAATTTCTCTTCTCCTAGATATTTCTTGCTTTATTTTCCTCTATCTTATATTTTCTCCACCTTCTACTTGAGATTTTATTTTTAACCTCATTTAACGGGTTGCAATTCACTTTCTTTCTTTCTTTCTTTCTTTCTTTCTTTCTTTCACATTCTTTAATTTTTCCTTTCTTTTGTTTCCGTCTTTCTTTTATTTATATCTTTTTTTCTTTATTTCCCTTTCTTTCTTTTTTTTTTTCTTTTCCTTTCTATCTATTTTCTTTATTTTGTTTATATCCTCTATTTTCGCTTTCTTTTCTCTCTGTCATTGTTTCTGTCATTTCTTTCAAATTCTTTTTTCCTTCTTTTGCTTTATTTTTTATTTCTTTTGGTTTCTTTCTTTCCGTCTTTCTTTCGTTGTTTTCTTTCTTTTTCAGTTTGACTTCGTTGTTACTCAATCTTGATTTGACAAAGAAAGGAAAAGTTATATCACTGAAATAATAATAATGGAAGCTTTTATTCCCCACCTCTCTCTCACTTTCCTTTTTGATAGCGTTCATTCTCTCTTTCTCTTTTGATATTTTCACTCGCTCTTTCTCCTTTTAGAATTGACATACTTTTCCCTTTTCCCTTTCTATAGTCTTTTCTCTCTTTTCCTGTCCCTCTTTTATCGCATTTAACAGCTCTGATTTTTTACGTTTTTATGTTTCTTACTTTCTTTGCCTCTCTTTTCCATTTTTATAGTTCTCAATTTCTTTTTTTCTTTTTATAGTGTCCCCTCTCTCTCTCTTTCTCACTCTCTCTTTCTCTTTTTATGCTTCTCGCACACTTTTTCCCTTTCTCTTTTTATAGCGTTTTTCTCAATTCCCATTTTATAGTTCTTATTTTTATTCCTTTAAAAGTTCTCTCTCTCTCTTTACCTTTTTATAATTTTCTTATTTTCATTCCTCTTTTTTCCTTTCTATAGTTCTCTCTACTTCTCTCTCTCTCTCTCTCTCTCTTCACTCTTTACATTTCTGTCTCCTTCCTTTTTTCTAGCCTTCTCACTTTCTATTTTTATAGTCATTTCTCTCTTCCCCTTTTTATAGTTCACTCTTTTATCCCCTTAACAGTTCCCCTGTTTACCATTTCTATATTTTGTTAATCTTTATCTCTCTCTCTCACTCTCTCTCTCTCTCTCTCTCTCTCTCTCTCTCTCTCTCTATCTATCTATCTATCTCTCTTCCCCATTTTATAGTTTTCAGTTTTTTCTTTTTTAGTTCTCTACCTTTTCCTTTTCATAATCACTTTTTGTCCCCTTATATAGTCATCTCTTTGTTTCCCTTTTATAATTCTCTCTCTTTGCCATTCTTATAATCTCATTATTTTCCCCATTTTATAGTGATGTCTTTTTCCCTCTTTGTTTTTTTATAATCCCTTTCTTTTTCCAGTTTTATAGTCCCCTTTTAAAATTCTCACTCTTTCCCGTTTTTAAAATCTCATTCTTTTTCCCTTTTTCTCATCTCTTTCTTTCCCCTTTTAAAATTCTCACTCTTTCCCATTTTTAAAATCTCATTCTTTTTCCCGTTTTCTCGTCATCTCTTTCTTTCCCCTTTTAAAATTCTCACTCTTTCCCATTTTTAAAATCTCATTCTTTTCCCGTTTTCTCGTCATCTCTTTCTTTCCCCTTTTAAAATTCTCACTCTTTCCCATTTTTAAAATCTCATTCTTTTTCCCGTTTTCTCGTCATCTCTTTCTTTCCCCTTTTAAAATTCTCACTCTTTCCCGTTTTTAAAATCTCATTCTTTTTCCCGTTTTCTCGTCATCTCTTTCTTTCCCCTTTTAAAATTCTCACTCTTTCCCATTTTTAAAATCTCATTCTTTTTCCCGTTTTCTCGTCATCTCTTTCTTTCCCCTTTTAAAATTCTCACTCTTTCCCATTTTTAAAATCTCATTCTTTTTCTCGTTTTCTCGTCATCTCTTTCTTTCCCCTTTTAAAATTCTCACTCTTTCCCATTTTTAAAATCTCATTCTTTTTCCCTTTTTCTCGTCATCTCTTTCTTTCCCCTTTTAAAATTCTCACTATTTCCCGTTTTTAAAATCTCATTCTTTTTCCCTTTTTCTCGTCATCTCTTTCTTTCCCCCTTTTAAAATTCTCCCTTTTTCCCATTTTAAAATTCTCATTCTTTTTCCCCTTTCTCGTCATCTCTTTCTTTCCCCTTTTAAAATTCTCACACTTTCCCGTTTTTAAAATCTCATTCTTTTTCCCGTTTTCGTCATCTCTTTCTTTCCCCTTTTAAAATTCTCACTCTTTCCCATTTTTAAAATCTCATTCTTTTCTCGTTTTCTCGTCATCTCTTTCTTTCCCCTTTTAAAATTCTCTCTTTGCCATTTTTAAATCTCATTCTTTTCCCCTTTTCTCGTCATCTTTTCTTTCCCTTTTTAAAATTCTCACTCTTTCCCATTTTAAAATCTCATTCTTTTTCCCGTTTTCTCGTCATCTCTTTCTTTCCCCTTTTAAAATTCTCACTATTTCCCGTTTTAAAATCTCATTCTTTTCCTGTTTTCTCGTCATCTTTTCTTTTAAACTTTCTTTTCCTTTTTAAAATCTCACTCTTTCCCGTTTTTAAAATCTCATTCTTTTCCCGTTTTCCCACTCGTCATCTTTTTAATTTTCCCCACTTTTAAAATTCTCTCTTTTTCCCTTTACTTTTTTCAATCTTTCATTCTTTTTTCCGTTTTCTCGTCATCTCTTTCTTTCCCCTTTTTAAAATTCTCTCTTTGCTTTTTTATAATCTCTTTCTTTTCCCCTTTAATAGTCATCTTTCTTTACCCTTTTAAAATTCTCACTCTTTCCCGTTTTTAAAATCTCATTCTTTTTCCCGATTTCTCGTCGTCTCTTTCTTTCCCCTTTTAAAATTCTCTCTTTGCTTTTTTTTATAGTCTCCTTCTTTTCCCCTTTAATAGGCATCTTTCTTTCCCCTTTTAAACTTTCTTTCCCTTTTTTATAATCCCTTTCTTTTTCCAGTTTTATAGTCATATCTTTCTTTCCTCTTTTTCCCGCTCTTTACCTTTTTTATAATCTTTTTCTTTCCACTTTTATAGTTCTCTCTTTTTCGATCTATATTGATCTTACTTTCTGCCATTCTCTTCTCTCCTTTCTTTTCTACTGGCTTCTTTGATGCATTTCATTTTTCCTCGTTTTTCCCTTCCCCTCTCCCACGATTTCAATTCATCAAGAAAAGTAAAAAAAAAAACCTGACTCCCCTCATCCCCAAATCAGCTCCCTTTTCCGCTACTGATGGACTGCAAGTATATCGAAGGTTATCCGACGGAGAGAAACTAATGGACATTTTCCGCAAATCTTCCCAATGATTTTCCCTGCACTGATTTTCATTTTTTTTATGTAGATACTATTCATTCGGGAACGCTCTCCATCGATTGACCGACTCATTGGACAGGCAGCACTCAAGCTCTTACGATAAGCCCCAAATCGAACGGAATCACAACAAACCAAGAAGCCAAAAATCTCACAAGATTTATACATTCAATGACTTTAATAGCAGGAGTCTAATATCTACCAGCTTCACGTCATCATGAACACTACAGATACACTACAGATAAAACACTCTTGACAATCAAGGTAAAATCTTGCTAGTGATTGCAGTTAATGCTAGAGATAATGACTGGGATCCTGTTAGTTGGATTTAATCAAAACTGAGTCAACTTAACCCTATCCTGGGCAGGTTATTTGGGAAAAGTGAAAGGCACGAGTGATGGATTTGTCTTTAAAATAATATAGAGCCTCAAATAACGAATTAAACTGTTTGAAATGTTGTAAGATTATTCTTTTAACTGTTATCTTTTTCAAGATGATAACACCACTAATACGCAGGAGGCTATAGGGAATGACTGATTAAGGGAAGATTCTAGTGAGGAGTAGCAATGAAAGGGCGATAAAGGAACTGTGTTCAGGAAGGCAGAAAATGGCGATCGACGTTTCATTTACATTTTTGAAGATCGTGTGGCAGAAAATTAAGAAATCGGAAGCGCACCACAAGTGAAAAGTGCGAACAAAGAATAGAATATAGGGTTGCATGTAGATAATTCAAGAGTAAAATAGTAAAACCTCGTTGCCAATTTTAGTAGCACGCTTAAATTCATGTAGTCGAGGTGCTAGAGATGAAAGCTCGTTAGAGTTGTTGCTATGAAAATATTTATAAAAATGATCGAGGGAAGCGACGTCACGACGGTGAGGAAGGGATTGAAGTCGAGATGCCAGGTTAGGACCAATAACATTACAGACCTTCTTTGGATGTTGTCGAGGATCTTAAGATATATTGCAGTGTCACCAAACCAAACCTGACGGCAATACCTAATGCACTGACGAATGGTATGTTTATAAATGTGCATGAAGAATTCTGTTGCGAAGAATTCCGTCACGACAGTGGGAACCATCTTTCCTAGCATCAAACCTAGCAATTGATTCAAAATAATCATTCAACTTCATCCGAGAGGAAAACGTGAAACTAAGAAGACGATGTCATCAAAAGTTAGAATTTTAAAAGAGAACGATTCGTTACACTTTCTCGTGCTAACGTATTCCATGAAGTGGAAAGATTATATCGAATCGATTGATAGGGCTGCTGCTAGGAAGGTTGGTCCATTGTGTCGTTCTCGACAATTTTTCTTATCAGAATCTATCATCATCATCATCCCCTTGACTTTTGTAATCATACGGGGGAAGCAGAAGCCAGATTAAATATCCCCAACAACGGTCTATCAACGGCAGCCATCTGCAATTCTGGTATAGTCACACCTGTCCATTGTTTGACATTGTCCAACCAGTTTTTACGTCCTCTCCTACGTCCACCTTCAACGGTACCTTGCCCTATCGTCTTGCACAGGTTATCGTACTTTGTAATGTGTCCAAACTATGCCATTTTTCGCCGTTTGATAGTGGCCAGAAGAGTTTCTTGATGGCCCCAAAAATTGTCAACTCTTTGCAAACTCATTGGTTGTAAGAATCTGCCTTACATATCGGCAAATCTAAGCCCATACTTAGAATTTTGCTACCCCTGTTATATATTTAGAAATCCTTGATAAACGAAGAAGAATTTGCAATGTTATTGGTCTTATCCTGATATCTCGGCTTCAGTCGCTTTCTCTCCGCCGTAATGTAGCTTCCCTATGCTTTTTTCTATAAATACTTTCTATAAATACTTTCTATAAATGTTTTGATAAAATCTCTTCTATGGTACCTAAACTTTATGAATTCAACCGTGATACTAGATTGGTGACAAGATCTCATCATTTTACAGTTGAGCTGGCTAGATGTAACCGTAACCAGTTTCTTCTCTCGTACTTTTCGCTTGTGGAACTCTCTTCCGGCTTCTTGGTTTCCAGTCAAGCTTAATCTTCAAAAATTTAAATGAAATGTCAATCGTTATTGTCTATCGTCTTAAACTCTTTCTTTTATTGTTCTCGCTAATGCTTCCCTGCGTGTTAGTCCTTCTGTTAGTTGGGGGTAAAATGTTTATTAAGAAATAAAAAAAAATGAACTATTGTAACCTAGAGAAGGTTACTGAATAGAATAAACACACAAAGGTTGGTAATGAACGATAATACATAGGACAAGAACAATACATATAAGATTCGCCAGCGGCGCCTAGAAGTAATCAACTGCTAAAAGTGAGTCAAGTGAATTCCACAATGAATCTCCAACTGCAGGATATATACCAACCGCCGCACGCGGTCAGCTGTGGCCAAAGATACCCTGTAGAACTCGTATAAAACGGGTTCGAGTAGCTGTTTCCTGAGATGAGATTCTGCCCTTCGATATAGCCACGCCTGGGGATCCTCTCTGCTCGAAGGTAAAGAGTTTGAACAGCACAGCTGGAGACGGATCTCCAGCTACAGAATATCTAGCAAAGGCTCCACGCGGTCAGATGTGGCACAAAGCCAAATTTAATGTGGGGTATCCGAGCCCTTAGGCTCGGCTAAAAATACCCTGTAGACCCCGTATAAAACGGGGTTGGATAGCTGTTTCCCGAAACGAAACTCTGCCCTTCGACATAGCCTCGTCTGGGGATCCTTTCTGCCCGGAGGCAGAGAGTTTGACCAGCACAGCTGGCGGCGGATCTTCAACTGCAGACCAATATACAGCATTTACTACTGTATTTATGTGAATACCCATTATCGTCCGTAGGTAAGCTACAACATAAACCAAATGCTTCAATGCAAATAACTTCATTTACAATGCAAATAATTCATGCTGAATGCATTTTGAAATATTTGTGAAATGAAGTCATAACGTAACTGTGTAGGAAGACTGAATAAAGACGAGATATAATTTTCCAAAGTTACAAAAAAACCACTCGTCAGCAAAAATACACTGATGTCAGCAATTACGAAACAAAAGAAGCATTCACCATATTTACAATTATCTTTTGAATAACTCAAAAAATATTTTTAAGACAGTCAATTTTTAGTAACATATCGTAAGGTTTCCAATCAATACCACAAAAGAAGGGCACCTCGGCATAATGTAATGGTTAACAAACTTGTCTCGCTAGTTCAGTTACTACTGAAAAGTGAGTTCGATTCTCATTAGAAGCCCCTACATTCGGCATTCTGCCACATCTCTGCTACGCTTAGAAAATCATTAGGGCACCTCGAGGCGGTGAAATGATTAGCAAGCTTGTCTCGCTAGAACAATTACGGCTGAGTAGTGAGTTCGATCCTCACTGGGTGCCCCATACTTTCGGCCTTTTGACACAGCTGAGTTACGCTTAGAAAATCACTTGTGGGCACCTCGAAGTGCTGGAATGGTTAAGCAAGCTTGTCTCGCTAGAACAATTATAACTGAGTAGCGAGTTCGATCCTCACTGGGTGCTCCATACTTTCGTCCTTGAACAAAATCATTATTACTGTATATTTAGGGCACCTCGGCGTGGTGTAATGGTTAGCAAGCTTGTCTTGCTAGATCAGTTACGACTGAAAAGTGTGTTCGATCCTCACTAGGTGCCCCATACTTTTGGCCTTGTGTCGCATCTAAGCTACGCTTAGAAAATAAACAATACCACAAGGGTTGGGCGAGCAAAATACTCCCTTGACAGTGATAATATTAATCCCCCGAAAATGTTCACTATCATAAGAATTTAAAGAATTAATGACTTTACCTCCCAAAATATAATTGAACACACACACATACATACATATATATATATATATATATATATATATATATAATTATTATTAATAAAAAAAAAAATTATAACATAAGCATGTTATAAAATCACTACAAAAATAGCCATTTTGTTTCAGCACACTCGGTGTCTTATCAAGTGATGATGTTGAAGATAAAATAAATGGTTTTAAAAGTTTCAGATTAATTAACGAATTATTGGAATTCATTCCGTATATACCAATTTATATACTTGGGTATATATATATATATATATATATATACCCATCGCACCCTGTATATATACATATACACGCACACACACACACACACACACACACACACATATATATATATATATATATATCCCTGGTGCCCCGACTACATGAATTTAAGCGGGCATCTAGATTGTTATCTAGGTGCCACCTGTTTACTGTTGCAATAGCTAAATACAACCGCCACTTTTACGAGAATAGTTTCTTTTCTCGCACTTCCTACCTGTGGATCTCCCTTCCGTTTACTTACTTCTCAAATATTTCCATTTACAGGTAGAAATAATATTCCAAAATAATGTAACTGTCAATAAATAGCATATATTTAAAAATAGCTTTCGGTCTACACTACATTTATTTCATCTTGGTGATTACCTGTAAATGGAAATATTATGCCCTGAAGATGGCAATTTGAAATTGTCGAAAGTACTCACCCCAGGATCATGAATTCTATCTGGTAACAATTCAAATATAAGGATCGTGTTATTCAAAGAATTGATAGTAAGTTAATGTCTCATTAGGTCTTGTTAGCGAAGGGATTTCACCATTAATTACGTTAACATTGCTAATTAATTCTTTGTATAATTACTTCTTTATGATATATATATATATATATATATATATATATATATCATATTTTTCCTCTCATTTCATTGTTGGAAGTGTTACCTGATGATCCAAAATCCCTTAAAAAGGATTTTGGTGAAATAAATTATTGTCATGGTACCTTGAAGTGTCTGTTTTTCTTTAAATATTAGCTCTGTTCTTAACATTGAGCTCTCAGGATTTCATCCTCCTTGGATTTACCAATTCGGTTTACCAAATTCTTCAAACTTAACTATATATATATATATATATATATATA